GGTCTCATTCTTGGAAGAATCTGCAGAAGATATTACATGATCACATCTCCAACAGCATACGTGACTCTGTTCAGCCAGGGCTGGCTATGCAGCACTCACAACACACCCAAATGATACCTGTGGAACTTTCACGTTGTTTTATTATTATTTTTAAAAAGCAGAGTTACAGAAATCTTACAGGGCCACTCAACAAAGGTTTGGTGATCTTGCAGAATTCTGGCCCTCTGAATTATATAATCAAGTTTATAACACTGCCTGGAAAGGTTAGCTACTTCTGATATTTAGACAGATATAGATATATAGATATAGATATGAAAAAAAATCACATGGGGCTTTGAATTTCTTAGGTGTTTAAATAAATGATACCGTGGACTGACAAAAAAACCTTACCATGTGGTTTTTTTAAAATTCATGTGAGTTTATTTGTATATATAAGTATGTCACTTGCACATATATAAATTTACATTTTTGTCTTTAATTTATGCGTTTGCATCTCACCTTTCTAATATTCAAGATGTGTTGCAATAAAAAAGTCCATTTGCTTATAGCCGTTTAAGTAAAGTTATGTTACACTGAGTGTATATTTTCTCAGCTTTTAGTTGTCTCTGAAGAATTTTTACAACTAAAGAAAAATCAGCATAGCTGAAAATTAAGAGTAAATCAGATTATTTCTTTCAGGAGGCTGTCTTTTATTGTTTTGTCCTCACCATCTGAACTAGATAAAAGCAACCTAGGAAATATTATCCTGTCCACCTGCTGCTCTGACTTCTTGCTTGCAGTAATTTTTGGTGGGAACCTGTGATATGCCAGCCCCCAAAAGCTGTTCTGCCCTGAGCTGGTGAGAGGAAACCGCTCTCTTGCCAGAATCCTACGGGGTATGAGAGCATCATGATATTCCTTTCTCACCTGGTCAGCCCTCCCTTTCTCAGCCAGGGATGGACAAAGGGGCTCCCTATTGCCACAGGGTGCTTTTCCTCAATCAGCCCAGCTCTACACGATATGCCTAATTTCTAGCGATGTCTACTTAGCTGTTTACTGTAACAAGAACATGCAACACTGTGAAGTGTTTTCTTTTAGATGCCTTGAGCTTCTTTTAGCCCCCTTTACTAACTTGTAGTAGGAATTCTACTCATAATTCTGAAATATTTGGGGCGTTCCAAGGTTTACAATGTATTATCCTGTAACTTTAGCTAATGAAACAAAAATGTGTATTAAGAACTTCATCAGAGAATGCTCATACATAAAGCTCCCCAGATGATAGAACCCATCTGAACTGCATTCTGATCTTTTTTTATATTTTACAATTAAGATGCAATCCTTTAAAAATGAGCACGGAGATGCCGATAAAAGAAGCATTGTACACCTGGGCATTGTCTGGCAGCTTTATCCGGAATTTCACTGTCTTCCACAGTGCAGGATGGAAGCTCTGCACCAACGGGACGTATCTCCTTGTCTTCCCCAGGGCAATTCATCCCAGTCAGCTCCCTGCACATCTGTATGAACTGCTTCTTGTGATGTGGGCGGACAAATATGGAGAACCCTGTGAATGAAAGTAATAAATATGTCATTATACAAGCCAATGAGTTCCAAGGAAAATGAGAACATGTTTTATCTTTTCAAACAAAGAACTCTTCTCATGTGATTACTCCCACCCGCACTGGGAGGCTAATCAACACTGCTTCTATCCACAGCTCTATCTATTTCGGTTCACACAGAACGTGGCCTTGAGAGATGGCGCAGTGTTTTCTAATTTGCTGAAACTACGTAATAGCAGTCAGGAATGGATTAAGCCATGGAATCTTCTCTTGGGAAGGCAAGGTTGAAATATGGAAATATGAGGAGGTAAAATCTGTCCCTCTCTTCTAGACTGAAATCTAACTCTTCTGGAAACTGGGGAAACTCCCCCCCGCCAAAAAAGAGGTCAGTATGCACAGAGAAGATGGGCCCATGATGAGTAAACAAGAGAAAGGAGTGTCTTCCCAAAGCCCTGTAATTACTTTATAGCTCTTAGGGTATGTGACCTCATTCATTCATTCCTTAGTAAGGAGGCTAAGACAGAAATTCACAGAAAAAGCAAAAACAGAACCAAACGGTAGGGGTCATCTTTACTAAGTGAATCATTTTTTCCTGAGAACTTTAAGATGAATCCATTGTTAAACAGTGGGACAGATGAGCACGAATAATGGTGAACTCTTCCTTGCTGGGGATTTTCAAACAGGACCTAGATGGCCACTGGTCAGGGTGGCTTAGTGGAATCCTACCCTGGGCAGGGGCTTGGATAGATGACCTTTATGGTATGGCTGTGCAACCATGCGGTTCTGGGAAAAGAAGCATCTGCTTCGAAAAACTGCAGAGAGGCTCCACATTCTTAACCCTGTGCATTCAAAAGCACCTCTTCTGAACTGAACCTGAAGCATTGCCCAGCCTTGTTATAAGGTCCTTCCCATTCATGCACTCTATGATTCTACGGCAAGAAAGAAGGCAGGCCACTTTCAGTTCCATAAGGCTTTGCTTCTCCCCTAACAGGGATCCACACAACCACTGAAGCACATGGTGGCAGGAGAAGGGGAGAAGGAAAGCCAGCTCATTGTATCTGATTCCTTCCCAGTGGTCCTCCAACAGCCCTTCAGAGAATGAACATAACACAGCATTAAGAATTAGCACTTCCCCTTCTCCATTGTGCCTTTTTAGATAGTAAGTTTAAGCAGAGATAGCCTCATTTGTGTTCATCTGTAAAGGTGGGGTATATACGCTTTAATTAAATAAAGGGCCCCAGTATGGATTTTGTGTAGAGAGCAGGAGAAGCTGTTTGTCTTCACGCTGAAAGACACTCAGGGCCAGTCCTGGTGACAGCCTGAAAACGGCTTCTGAGTTCTAGTGGTGCAGAAGACTCTCTTGTTCTATCTATCTCTGCTCTAATCTATAACATGCTTTTGCTTCTAGCTCTAAGAAAGTCTTACGGCAGTAAATATGACAAATTGGCTATTCTTGTAAAAGGATTTACTTTCTTTTTTATAGATGAGGGAACCAAAGTTGTTATTGCAAATAAGTCTGCTCCCCTGTCAAATTGTGCCCCATTGGAAATGAAACACCCTTCCCGTATCTACCATTCCTTTCTCCTACCCCTTTCAAAATGCTTTTAGAGTTAGAAGGAAGAATGATCTTTGTAAGAAGCCAAAGCCTTTAATTCCTGTTTTCTGGCACAGAAATAAAGGAACTCACCAATTCATGACGACTTTTGGGTAAGAAATCCATTCTGAAGCATGTCATGCTGATCCCTAAATCTTAGATGCTAACTTGATATGCCTCTTTTAGGGTTTACATTATGTTTTTTATCTACTTCCTAACTCCAAATTACAGGACAATGTGCTGTCAGCTTATGGGAATTATGGGGAAAAAATAGCTTTACTTAGATACTATATTAAAGGGATAAAACAGAAACAGGAAATAGAAATAATAAAGGAGGATATTTTTCACATCTGATATACAGCAGAGGAATTTAAGACTGGACGAAGAGAGAAAGAACAGATCCTTCTTCTGGAATGTCACACTTTGTGTGCATCCAATGAAAATCCACTGACTTAATAGGTTCATAAAATCATCAGGAGTCAAGCTCAACTCAGTAAAAACTTTACCTTATGCTGTAATAATTGCTAGCATATCTTTACAGAAAATATACCCTGTGACTCCTGAGTCATGTTTGCTTCCAATGATGGCCTGGCAGGCTTCAGGAGAATAAAACTTTCCTTCAGCACTGGACAGCGGCAATTCCTAATGCGAAAATGGGGTCATCAAAAGTAGTTTTCACACCTGAGTGGGAGCATGCTGGATTCCATGTGAGCTTCTTGATGCCAGGTCTGCATCAGAATGATTGAATAATCCAGTCATGCCTGATGTTTGCTTATGGCAGAATGACCAACCTCCAGAGGTGACTTCTCTGGGCAGCTGTCCCTGTGTACAAGTACTTTGGACTCATATAATTAATTAAATGTAATTAATTTCTTGCTACAAAGAAATCTCTTGCAATCTAAGTTCTAGGAACGGCTGCCCCAGAGGCTGAACTTTCTGATCTGTTTCACCACAACAGAGTTTACAATGTCATGCAGTTCCTTGGGGAGGGCAATGCATTCTATTCTACCACATGAAGCATAATGTCCTGGGCTTAACAGGGTATGGATGGGAAGAGTTCAGCTCACTCTAAAAACAGCTGGGCAGGCACTTACTCTGTAGAAGATGAAAGTGTTCTGGCTTTTCTGTAGTAAGGGCTGCCACCACAGATATCATAGAGTCATAGTTATCTGTCTTCTTGTACGCCAAGAGTGCTGAAATAAAGCTACTATAGCTGGTTTTGTCCAGAGTCTTCTTGAGGTCACTTAAATAGGCTGACAGATTTATCTGGTCGTTGTTCTCCTTTGTAGTACTGAATGAACTTCTGGAGGAGCCATCAGACACACTGGTACAGCATTCTCCTGAGATTAAACACAGAACAGAGCTCCTAAACACTGTGGGGAAACAAATTACTCATGTTCATCTGTGTATGCATGTTCTGTTGCTACTGCTCAGAAATAGTTGAACTCTGAATAAAGTGTTCTTAATGTTGTAGTAGTACATATGGCAATGTACTAAGGATACTATGGATAGCCAAGAAATCAAACAAATGGATCATCAAACAAATCAACTCAGCATTCTTGCTGGAGATACAAATGACCAGACTAAAATTATCACATCAAATTATTACTTTGGACACATTATGTGAAGACCTAGTTTTCTGGAGAAAGCTCTGATGCTGGGAAAGGTGGAAGGAAAGAGAAGAAGAGGACAACCAGAGCAAGGCGGATGGACTCAGTTACAGTGGTGATGAGTGCACTGTTAGAGACTTGAAGAGCCAGGTTGAAGACAGATCATCCTGGAGAAGGTCTACCTGCTAAGAGTTAACACCAACTTGATGGCACATAATCAATCAATTAATCAATCAATCACATATTGTTGTTGTTGTTTAGTCGTTAAGTCGTGTCCGACTCTTCGTGACCCCATGAACC